TTTTTTTATTATTTAACGTGTTATAATAGACTATTAATAATTAATTATAATAAATTTATTTGTAATATCAAAAAGATGGTTTTAAAGTTCGAAGCTATTAGTGATGTGAATAAATTTAGATATAAAGATTTTTGAAGATGCTTTAGTACAATATGGATATAAATTTATGGTGGCTTTTATTAATTATTTCAAAATATGTATGCCAATATATATATATATATATATATATATATATATATATATTACTTATTTTAGATTATTCAATCTTATTATAAAATTATTAAAATATCTTAATAAAAGCCACTTGCATCTTATAAAGCTTCCAAAATCTTAATATTCAAAGTTAATTTTGATCTACAAATTTTTTTAAATTGACAACAATGAATATTATTAAGTACCATGATTTTCAATTTGAAAATATTCTAAGTACTAAGTTGTAGACTGTTTACCTTAAATTTATTAGCCAAATTCTAAAAAATTATTTTTTCTTCATGTAAAGAAAAAATAAGCATGATAATATTGAAAGATATTATAAAAACAAGAATTCTTTATATTTAAATAGATGTGTATATAATTCTTTCTAAAGCATCTATAAATCTCTAAATAGCCTTTTCTATGCCAATACATAACTAAGCAAATGTTATCAAATAAAATCTCAATAACTTCATAGAAAATCCATAATCTTCTTTCAAAAACTTATCTTCATATCAAAATTTTATTATAGCTTTATGTATTCATTTTTTATACTTCTATGAGGTCTTTGCTTCCAAAAATCTCTTAATTTGTATGAAATGATCAAATTATAACAAAGCATCTTTAAAACCTTATTTATATGCATGAATTTTTTTTTTTCCAAATTTGATTTTGAGCTCTCATGTCTTCTTTGCAAAATCTCTAAATCACTCAATTTTTGCACCAAAACTTTATCCAAAATCCTAAATTATTTTACACAAGTCTTTGATATTTAAAAGATTCCAAATAGTAATCTTCATCCTCCCTAAGGTCTTAGACAACCTCTTTGAAGGCTATTAGATATGACTTTTGGCTAATAAAAATGGAAACTTCTATTATCTATCTTCATTCATCTACATAGATGGCCCAATTATTCTTTTCAATACCAAGATCCTTAATCTTTTTTCTAATAAGATTAAGAAATTATATAGTATATCTTTGTAACAATGTAAAATTCAACTAATAGATTAAAAAAAATGATAATTTCTATTTTCAAGTTGGATAATTAGCTCTTAGAAATTTTATTATAGGTTGTTGGACTATCATGGAATATCAAATAGGTTGTTAAAGTTAAGTTATTAATTATAATAAAAAATTATATAAATAAAGTAGGAATCCAATAGGACAAACATCCTAATTGAGGAGATATTATCAATCCAAAAAATTTGAATAGTTCTAAAACAAACAAACTTCTTTTTGTTATATGTATGTATCTTTGTGTATTTAGCTTTCAAGATTTGTTTTTATAAATAGATGAATGGTTCTAAGTAAATTAAATACGGAAACCACTAAAATAAATTACCTTGTAAAATAAAATATAAAATAGGTATCTAAATTGATATTATATTAAATGACCCAAAAAGAGATAATAAAAGTAGGTAGTATTGCAAAAGATAAAGTTAGTGGTAAGATTGTATTGTTGCATGGCAATATTTTAAGTTCGCCATCTTTTAAAAAAAATTGAGTTGTAACAAGACACTATATCATCCAATTAACATTTATTCTTCTCATTGAATGAGGCTATTAATATTAGTAATTAGAAAAACAATTAAACTATGTTAACAAGATCAATGTTGATAACTCTTCAATTAAATATCCTTATTTCTCTCTGGTATAGTAATTTTTGTTAAATTTTAATCAAACCAAATCAAATCCTATAGTAATTTTAAAACCTTAATAATTATTAGTAGAATTATTAATCATTCTTCAATATTTTCATACATTTCAACCTACTTATTAAAAAAAAGTAAAAAAGATCTAAAAAATAAAAAAAAATAAAAAAGGTTACAAATTAGGATAAAAAGCTCTTAATCTGCTCTATTGCCAATGGTCTTCCTTCTCCAACCTTAATGTCAATCTACTAGCAAAAATAGCCCCTTATTGCATCATTTTTTTGTCTTTAAAATTTGAAAAAATATTTCAAATTAAGTTTATTATTTCCTCATACAAATTTTTTTTAATCCAATTCAAAAAATTGCTTAAGATCATAGAAATCCTTACTATCCTTTAAACTCCAAAATTTAAGATCCTAATCCAATTAAATTTTGATAATCTTTGAGATGACTATTTAATTTATATTTCATTGATAAATAATATTTAGAAAAAGTGAATAAAAAATTCCATAAATTTTTATTTGTCAATTTACTGTAATACTCACAACATTTTTTTTAAATGCAAACTCTTTAGTATTTCATTAAACCTCCAATCACCTAAAACAATCTTGACTTTGCAAAGCTCTCACAAAGTCAGTATCTATTCATATTACTTAAAACTAATAATCAAACAAAATCTATAAAATTTGTTCTTTTAATCTTTCGTTTTAATCAACAAAAGAAAAATTAAAATTGCTGTAAGCGTACAATTTTGTGCCTCAAAATTAAATTTCAACCTTGATTTACAATTGGTCCTCTCCTAATATCAATGCCTAGTTTTTTCAAATATATATTTTTAGAAGCTACTCAATACTTCTATATAAAGATGTTTATAATATTATTTTTGTTAATCCACTTTATTTTGACTTATTTATAATCTTATAAAATAAAAAGAAGCACTTTTTATTAAAAAAAAATAGTATTAACACAAAATAGTTTTATTGCCTTCTTATCTTTTATTTATGTTTTTTTAAAATGATTTTCTATTATAATCTTTAATTGAGCTCTTTTATAATATAAGCCATATTTTTTCTTTCAATCAATAGTTATGTTGTATGAAAATTAGCTTAGAAATGCATTAGGCATCTAATTAAAAGAAGATTTTATCTTACCTTGAAGTTAGATTAAAACCAAAAAAATAGAATGCATAAGGTGTTTGGAAACACTTTTATAATCTTAAAAAAATAAAAATAAAAATTATTATACTATAATAAACTTCAAATAAAATTTAAATTATTCTAACAAAAAATTCTAAATAATTCCTAAAGATATTTTAAAAAAAACCTTAAGAAATACAAAAAAACTCTAATAAATTCTAGTTAGATCTTAAATAAACACCAAAAATTTCTTACTTTCATCATTTATTTGAGTAAAAATAGCTTGAATGTGTGAAGTATTCTAATTTGTATGAAATTGATGTAGTTTCTTTATAATTGTTGTACTAACCAACCTAGCTTTATGCACTATAAATATTGCTTCTTCTTCGTTATTACATATCTATTGTTGATTATTTCTTACAAGCATAATTAAAGATTTAACTATGTGGCTAATATTTATAATAAGCTTTTTATAATAATTGGATAATATAAAAAAAATTCTATGATCAACTCACATCATTGGATTTTGGAATACTTGTCAAAGCCTTTGCCCTAAATTTTAGCACACTAAATCCAAATAAATAAATCATATGCTTTAAGTATTCTTCATGTGAATAAAAGAAACTATACTTATTTGGATGCAACCTAAGTCTATCCATTATCAATTGCTTTAATACCATTTTAAGATGTCTTTGATGTTTTTTGTTGTTGTTAGTACTAAAATTCTATATAACTTATAACTTGTACAAAAACATAACAATTTTTTATTTCAAAGTCATTAAAATAAATATAATTAAATAAAATAACTTGGAATCCAGACAATATCTTTAGAAGGCAACCACCAAAGCTACAAGTATAAAAATTTAATAGAACATATTGGAATAGAAGTTCCTTTTAGCCTTAAATATACTAAGAAACCTACAAGACCAAAAATCAAAATTTGAAGAATAAAAATCCCAAGAACATGCTCCATCCTAGAGTATTTTAAAAAGTTAGAACAGTAAAACATACACAGTTTCGTCAACAATTTAATCATATTTTATAATTAATAATAATAATAATAATAATGACAATAATTCTCCTGTTTTATTGTATTTTTAGGAATATGTTATAAAGTGAAACAATCATTCAAACAGAACATGCCATTAATCCCTGTTAATTTGTGTAACACATACCATGTTCTCATCATATCCTTTTCACAAACCAACAAAAATAAGATCAAACCTTAATAAACATTCTCAGAGCTTTAGTACAAAAACTAGCCAAACAACTCATAATCAATCACAAAAAAATATCCCATTTTTTAAATATAGTCTTGCAATGTCAGCTTGCACACTATCTCACTTGGACCAGAAGTAATACTAAAAATTGAATCATTTTTAGCGTGATTTATCTGGTTCTTACTTTATTAGATTCAAGTTTCGCAAGGCGTCATTCTAATTCAAAGCAAAGCTGTGTATTGTATCCAGTTTTGGACTCAGTTACTACCCTACTGTACTCAATAGACTTCGTTCACGTGGGCTAATAATACTAAACTTATTTCAACTCGAGATACCCAGTCCGGCCGGTTGGATGCAATCTCGAATGGATACTAGGCCAACAATATCTGCTCCCCTGTATTGGGTGTATTCGAAGCTGAATTTGACGTCAACGATTTTAACTTCAGGGTCGCCGAACCCAGGATCGATGTACTCAGGAATGTCACACTAGGGATCAAATCCAGGTCAGCCATCATCAAAAGTTCCAGAGTCGGAGTCCCTTTTGGAATGACCAAATACCACTTCACTTTTAGATCGAAACACGATCGGATATACTTGGAGGTTTAGCGATGGTGAGTAAAAAAATTGAGCATGGAACTCGTTATCGAAAAACGCGAAATGTGTTCAACCACATCGGAATCAACTCAGTAATCAGATTCCTTACAGTAATTTGCTTCTAAAAGAACCTCCTTTCTCTTACCAATGTTATTGTAAAAGAGAATACCATCACAAAAAACATTGAAAGATGTTGACTCAACGTGAAAAGGTAAAACTTTAGCTTGTAAAAATACTTTAAGTACAAAACATGGCACGAACACTAAGTGCCTGGCATGAACTTTTGTACAAGAGCAAATAGAGCATATACATGCAAACTGACCACTGAAACTCAGCCCATGCACAAAGAGAAGACGAGGGAGAGATAGGGGAAGAAGGACCAAAAACACCCAACTTATTTCTAAGCGTAAAAAGCGGGACGAAGTTCACAAATGAAAGTTTGTCACCATTTGTAAATACAGGTGCATCTCTCTCTACACAGCCATGCACTAAAGACCTCAAGGTGGAGGTAAAGGTAGTGCCTGGCCTCAAAATACCTGCATCCAGTTAAATAGAAGATAGGATGGGCGATGATAACATACCGCAGTGTGATTCAAATCCTTCGCCAGCCTAGATCCACTCCCACTACGTACACAACAATACCAGATCCACCTCGTACGGAAAATCCTAAAGTGGCAGGGGCGGACTCCTGAAAGAGGTTTCGTGCTCTCCACCCACATCTTCCTAACGTTCACGGATTAATTATATACTTCTCAATTATATATTTTCACAGGCTTCTCAAAGCTGTGACGACCCTGCATCAAGATAAAAATAAACAATTTAATTAAAACAATATTTCGAAGATAAAAAGAAGAAAGTCATTATATTCCCCTGACCTCACCTGATGTTAAACATCTCAATTGAGCAACAAGCCACCCAGGCCTCTAATCTGACATACACCCTTGACTCGCTGTGCCATACCAAGATATGAAAAAGCAATAACTTCCGGCAATTCAAATAAATAAAATTTACAGCCAAAGATGGGGAAGATACCTGGTTAGTTTGATGGGCTCGCTTAGGAGCTGAATCAATGTGCTCCAAACCCAGATAGTATTCCCAAGCACCGTATGAATCTTTTTTCTGAAAATTAACGAAGAAAAATCAATTCAGATCTAACATCGTTAAGTAGTAAAATGACCTGGGAAATAGTAAAAACTAAACAATCTCTATGTTCAAAACCAATCCGAGCGTGTTTCGCATGAATATGCACACCTGAAAACGGCTTGCAACAACATCGTCGTCTCGCAAGTAGTCCGGTCGGCCAAGCGACAAAAATGCAAATTTATACTGCACAAAGAAAGAGTTTTCAGTCCCGCATGTCTCAAGATCCTGCTTCAAAATCTCAAGCTAACAAACTGGAGCATAAGAACATACTGAGAAAACAAGGACAACAAATGGAAATTTTTGATACATTCATCATTTTAAAGCTATATGTTAATACTGAATTACATCAATTGTTCCTTCGTACAATTAGCTAACACTCACAATGCAGATTACAAAAAGCATGAATGTCTGATTGCATTGTAGTGGAATATCACGGTCATTTTCATGCTAGAAGCAGAATGAATTAGACCTTGGAAAATTCATCATCAGGAATTTGTAATTTGTTTTGAATTCGCGCTTTAATCGATGCTAGGGTCTCACTCTCCTTCACTTTCAGAAAGAAGGGTTCACCGAAATTTTCAACTTGCTGTAACAAACAATCACAGTCAAGAAGACTACAAAGCAGCCAGCTAAAAAGAGTACTAGCTCAACCAAGTCCATACACCTAAAATACGTCAAATTGAGAAGTCCAAAAATAAAATCTAGGTAATTGTAATCAGATTGGCACAAGTACTTCCGCAGTCAAAAAGCGAAGGTGTGATAACTACAGCAATCAATATACATGAAGAGCAAGCATCTGCCACTAACTAGTATAGTAATTATTATGATAAAGATTCTGAAAAGCGAAAAGGCTTAAATTCTATGTACCATCTGATTTTGAGCGGCATCACGGAGGAAATGATAAACATGAATCACACGTTCTTGAGGTCCCAATTCTTTCTCCTCGTCAGGAATCTACACCTCCTTAAATTAATCATTATGATAATCCAGCCAATGAAGTTCAACCAATGATGAACATATCTCATAAAAACAAAGTGAACTATAATTCAGTTGCACAGGCTAGAATATATGGGATTTTGCTGTAAAAGGAGACAGAACGACAAACCTCTTCAGCTCGCAATTTCCAGTATTGGTCATTGATATTCTCGATTTTCTCATTTAGAGGGAAAACCTATAAAAACCGAGATCCTCAGTAAACTTCATAGCAACTTAACCCAAAGTACACAAATCATATGATTGTCTGACCAATTGCACCAATCCCGGACTGTTACTACGTTGACTAAAAATTCTTCTTACCGACCACTCTTGCACCAACTATGACGAGTAAAAATACACTTGACATACTCTTGGTTTTAGGTGAAAACACCACTCACTTTGTATATCTTGTGGTAGAAGACCTCGAGAATTCTCAACTCGGCTTTGGGGCTGGACAGCTCCACCTTAACCAAAACCAACAACACCCATGATGATAACCAAGTTAAATATCCCTCACAAAATAAAATTGTCAATCAAATAATGTTACTTAAAACCGACTTCACTTGGACTACTAAGTGACGCGATTCGGAAGCGTTCTGCAATACATTAGTTAGCATAATCCGAAAGGCAGAGTAGAAGCTACTCACTACTTCAGTGCTCGAGCAATCATCATTAAGTATGAAGAAACTTGCACGTAATCTCAGTTAATGAAAAATGGAAATTATTTACCTTAGTTTTCAATTCGTTGATAACATCGCCTACAGTGCTTTGCTTTGGTAACCTGACATTGTGAGTTGATACCTGAAACAAGCAAAAACATTCTTTAGAAAAGAACACAATACACTTTAGAACTGGAAGCACCAAGGAACCGAACGATGCATCTTACATTCCAATGCAAACCATTGAGTACCTCCTCAGTTTTAGAATTATGGAAGGTAATCTTTAACGTCTTCAATCCTTGCAACTCGGGAAGCGGCAAATCCAACGTCTCAAAATAAAGTATATCTGATATCTGTATTCCACAGAACATAAGGTCAAACAAGTACACAGCTATGATAACATTGTTTTAAATGAACGTTAGAACCAAAGGTGAACAAAATATCTAGGATCATGAAAAGCTAACAAGAAACCATGGGCGTAAATATAAAGTAAAATTATGTCAAATAATGAGTAGTATCTTCGGCACGCTGACAAAAGTCACAAGAGCTCCACTTCAAGGTCAAAGCTATGAGCTGTGTGTAATTAAGATGATATACTACCTGGTTGTAATGACCAAGCATGTCACTGAGCCGTTCCACACCTCGATATTTTATTGGCTGAGGCTTTGGCTGTTGCGAGTAACAGTTATGTGACGTGAGCCTAAGTTTTGAAGGATCCTCGAGTCCGAGCTTCTTAGCAACTTTTTCTACTACATCATCATACGTGTGTTGCTTTGATCTGCATTGCAACATGATCTTGAAAAACAATACTCTCCAAAATCTATTTAAATTCGGCAAGGATATGAAACAAACACTGATACATATGCGATGGGATTTACACCTGAGTAGAGTTGCTCTGATACTTACAGCTCTAAGCAGAATTCGTCCTCTTTGGGCTTCTCCAAGCGTCGAAAATGCACAATCTTCACCAAACACACGGACATCAGTTACCTCGTCACATTACCCGTCACACAAATATCAAAGATGAAAAATCTACCACATCAGCATAAAGTAACTGCAATCCAGAATATTTCTTTGAAAGCAAAAGTGCCCTGACAAGAGCAATAGTTGCAGGTTACAATTCCTTTTGAACAAAAGTGAACTCAGGTTTAAACCCGTACGAAGTTAGCTAGCGCAACATGCATTTAACCAAGAATTTAGAATTAGATAGCAAGGATGACTTTACGTCAGAAACTGAGTACCTGTCGGTTACAAACATATTCCAAAAATGATGGCACATCTGGATAATTAAATTTCGCCTCCTCTTCCTTTGTGCGAGCTTTCTGGTAACATATGATATCACCATTTTCCAACTGCATGTGTCCATCAACCAATTGATATTACTACTCAAGGCAAGGTACGCTTCAAATTGAAGCACAAAATTGAACTCAGTCAAGATTGCGTCATCATCTGATTGTATACAAAAAATCTGAACATACAAAAGTAAGACAAGCCTCATTAGTGTTTACAAATTGATGCGAAATGACTAAACCAAAAATATTATTGGTGCGCCTGACTACCTGGCTGCCTCTGAAGGTCGATTTCTTATCAATATGCTCACACATAACAGTTGGGTCAAATTTTATTTCCTGCAATCATGAACCACCAGCCAATGATTTTAACACAGCTAAAACTGGAAACTATAAAAATATCAGACTATTTCGGTACAAAACAGAGTGACTGAATTGATTGAAACTCGAAGGCTTGCTTTATCCAATTCATTTAGCATATTTTGTGAATACCTCATACAGCCTGATCTCTTCATTTGCTGCAAAACCAGCCATCTGATTCAACTTTTCGAGGATATCAACTGGCCTTCCATTAGCTTTAACGAACAGCCTCCCAACAAACCTGAGAAATATAAAGACGCTATTTCAGTTCAGTTCAACCTGAGAAAGAATGTAAACTGCTAGAATCTAGAATCTCATACAAGATCAACGACTAATCCATTTGTAATTCCTACCTCATTCCAATATATTAGAGATGCACAAACAATCTTAGATGGGTGATTGTACTTGAAAACAACTGATGGGATCATAGCATGCTATAATCGCTGCAAGCACATATACGCCAGAAATAATAACGTACCGTAGTTCTTCTCTTTCTGGACTATAGAGCTTGAAGAACAACAAAACATCCTCCTTCGTTCTTTCTGGAACAGGTGCTGGAATACCCTCCTGAAAGTAATCCATGTGTGGATAAACTTGAGACTACGCAACAGCAGCATAGACTGGGAACATAAGATATACCAGAACCATTGGTTCCTAAAACAAATCTCCAACCTTATTCCAGAGCTACCAAAAGTAGAAAAATAATTACCTGATAATTCACCTCCAACCAAAGCCTCAACTCAGCGTTGTGTGTTTTGTTTGATGCATCTTTCAGTTTACCCACCTACAAACGCAGAGAAAATGATAAATAAAGCCCAGAGGTAGGTAACAGGTATCATGTATAAATTCTAAATATAAAATCACATCCGAAACTACTAAGAAAGCGCTGCAAGAGAAATCCTCGCAGAGAAATCAATGATAGCAGAACCAATTATGAGTAAGATGCATTTGATCTCCGCATGCTCATACCGTTTCCATTTCCTCTTGTTCAGTCAATGGCTTATTGGGACGGTAAGTATGGTTCTGCCGCCGAGCCCACAGCCAGTACCTCTGGCAACTCGCAGGAATACCAATCTCTTTGGCGACATCTTCCTGTCCACAAGAAGAAATCCATAATTAATTGTCTGTCTACAAGCACTAAGCACCATCATCTTACAGAAAGAACAGTCACTGGTGGTTAAAGACCATGGCTACATACACTAACATCCAATCTCTCCAAGCAAATAAGAAAATGGACAAATTTAAGTGTAAAACAGAATTACCTTGAATTGTTTGAAAGGAACCTCCTGATTAATACGATAACTCTTCACGGAGTCATGGTCCACAAGGTCAAAAAACTGTTGTTTGCCAATTTGATTAGAAAGGTCTTCATCCCTGGCAATCTGTACCAAGAAGGTGTCAGTCATGCAGTTGGCAACCAGTTCCATACATCAAAATATGTGGAATCAATCACTCAGTGATGTACAAGGACTAAACAACATAGATGCTGGCATCGGATGATAGTCCCAAGCGATCATGGATGCATCAACCTTCACGCATCAAAGGAAAAAGGAAAAAGGGAAAAGGGAAAAGAAAAAAAACAAAAACAAAAACATAAAAAAACTACCTTGAGGACTGTGTAGAGATGAGCTTCAGCTTTATCCTTTCTTTTCCTCTCCTTCTCCCCCTGCTCTTTCTTGAGCCGTATCTGCAATGTCACCAAATGGAATTCAACCACGTGACCGTCAATTTGCAGCAGATCTGGCCTTGAACACAAAATTTGAAGTAAAAATTTTATGACTAAGCCCTGAAAACGAGCAATACGTCCGACTTCCAACTCCAGTAAAGGATTTACCTGCAGATGCTCTGCAATGTCTTTCTCATCCACGTTGCATATAACTTTGTCCTTGTCAGAATCTCTGATGTACACCAGCATGTACGCATTTGAGTATTTTGTGAACTTGAATGCTGGCTGGTTATATGCTGGGTTTTGTGCCGGCAACTGCAAAGAGATTGCAATATATCCACGAACATAAAGAAAAGAAAAAGAATGAACTTAGTGACCAATGAAATAGATTCCAAGCGTCAAGTACACCAACGATTGCACCTAAAGAAGCAGCTGACTATACGAAGACATGTTAAAATAATACCACACCCAAAACGCAAAAATTAATATTCAGATGAATAAGTTTGTGTCCGATTCCCGGAGGAAGAATGTTACCTCCTCTTCCCCACCATATTGATCTTCGAGAGCTCTCTTGGTTTCCTCTTTAGTGACATGCTCATCATCAAACTTGTACCTAACAGGGGTCATGACACACTTCTTCCATCAGCTGAGCTAAAATTCACATCGGATTTAAATTCCCTAAACAAAATCTAAGTCAACAACATGTCACCTGAATCAAATATAATTATTTCAATGTCATTTTTCTCAATCGAGGCTCCCCTAGTATCCCAAGCGAGGCAATCTCATTCGATGGCATGAAAAACTATTGAACTAACTGTTGAACAAACTAGAGACTAAGATGATACACAAGAAGCGACTCCATCTTTTTTAGAGACCAAGCACAGAACACAAAACCCTGCATCATGCAGAGAGTAAATCATTGAGGTACATGCTCTAAAATTAGTGCTTATGTAAATGCACAGTCAGGTTTTCCACACGTATACATTAGATGCCAAAGTATTCTTGAATACTTCAATCCCAATCAAAATTATTCTTGGAGTAGCATCAAAACTCACCATTGGTTTGTCAGAGTTGGTCTGATGAAAGCATAATAATGTCCTCCCTGTACTCCACCACTATGTACCAGCACACTGAAACAACACACACATTTATCAATTTCATACGCGCCAGTACACCGGTGATAAGTAAAAGAATTTTCTATAACTCAACCAGACACAAGCTCAAATAAAACGCCGTGATAGGTCTAATTTCCTCACAAATAGTAGCCCCGTAACTCAATAATATTGTGGAAGTCACCTACATTACAAATAAATAATTACATGAACTTTTATTCGAAAGGAAGAAGCAAGCTTCACACATGTGCGTACCTGTGCAAGCTGTACAAGTTTCGAACGCTTCGATCAGCATCAGGAGACAGATACTTGCCATCGTATTTATCCAGATCAAGTTGCAATGGAAATTCGTACCGGTCATTGACCTGGAAGATCAGAAAAAGGGTAACTTATATGTACGACTATTAGGACCAAGAGAGCACAATGAACAGACCGCGTTTATCAGGAAGGACAGCTGTCGGAATAAGACAATCAACTTCGCATACTTTGTTCAAAATTCTCAATCCTATCTAGCTGGAGCACAAAATCACGATGTTCTGACCGTATTCTAAATAGATTCAATATAAACCGACAAAAATAACCTTAAGTGCTATAGGTGGCAATCATTTGAAAGAAGGTAGTTTTTGACTTCTTAACGTATAGCTGTTCAAGCATGCCGATACAGCGCAGTATAAACCAGGCCTACCTTGACCATACTGTCTCGCATGTAGTCGTACTCAAAACGTTTCAACTGCAACTGAAGGACTGGAGGGAAATCAATGAAAAGAACCCCTTTCTTGGCATCCTGCAACCCGAACTGGTCTGCTTGATACTTGTTTTCCCCCTCCATCTTCTCGATTTCCACATACTTATCAAATGAATCATAAATATTTTTGCAACCCTTTACGTCCAGCTGCAAGTCTGCCAACGTTTACTTCACATATTATTAAAGTGAAATCTAGCAGCGTACGGAAGATCAACAAAGCCCGACCATGATAAGCCACATGCCCAGTGTTGTCTCGGGACAACATTAGAGTCAATCAAGTCAGAAGAAGTGTACCATAATAGGACTCCTTCCGAGTGGACTTAAAATCGACATTGATGCATTCGATATAATTCATATGATGGCCTTCAAAAAGATTTTGTATCGTCCCCTCCACTGCCGTGCCCTACGTAAGTCGGAAATCGAAATTTTAGACTTCTCACAAATTGACCCAAGCACAATAACTGAATTCACGCGCACAACAACCGCCACAACGCCGAGAACGCTACATAAACAGTTCACAGCTTTTTTTACTTCGGATAACCTCATGTAGCCTTTTCTACAACATATCAACGAACACAATATCACCTCAGTCAGTGGGCCATATCAGGTCTAAACTGTCACGACCAGCTCTGGGTTTCCGAGCGTGGAAAAAGTACATATGAAAAGGAGAGGCAAACCTTCATTTTATTCTCTAGCTTCTCACACAGAACTCGATTGAGTTCCTGAACATCGTGTTGCATAAAGGATTCATAAGTGTCCCATCCGAAAGACTTCGTCAAATCTTTGGTGGCAACGCAGGTATCACTGTACTGCATTTTGTAAAACAAGCTCTGAAGTGCCAGGGGAATGCTGCTAGATGGTGCGTCATTCTCAGTTGTAGGCATGTGGTATACGGCCTGTCCAAATTTGAAACCAGTATATATGATCATGACCACCGCATTTTTCGTGGGTGGCAACAAGAATACACTACAAACAGGACTTTGTACTACATACTGTGAGCACTTTATAGCTAAATGAATTATATGGCTGCACATGAGTGAAAGAGGAAGGAACTGGAACCTTGCGGAAGTAAGGGATATGATACAAAGTTTGAAGAAGCGAATTCATGTAGCACGTAGCACCCTGGTTCTTCAAGCCTACGAAACCTGTCTCCTTCTTTGAATCATGCGACCAATAATCCACCATCTTTGGAGCATTAACATCAGCTTCTATAACAAGAGTATCATTCACCAGAAAACCTTTCGATAGATCATATAACTCATGTAGTGGCATGAATGAGGTGAAACCCCAATCACTTTCTCGAGCATTGAACTGATGTTGAGTATCTGCAAATAGGTCGCCATGGGAAATATAAGACCGTGGAATCCCCCAACCTCACCACAAACCAAATCGTTTGTCACAATAAATACAATTAAGAATCCTCTCAATTCTCGTAAGCTCATATGAACGACGCGCAGCGAAACCTAAATTTATCGCAGCACTGTAGACACCTGAAAATCATCGAAACAAACAAGTAAAACAATAAGCAGGCAAGTAACGCCAAACCTTTCCGAACAGACATCTTGGGTTCATATTGATTAAGAACAGCCAAGTTAAAATGTGCAAATCTGGTCCAGCCACTCGGCAGTTGGTTCGAGTCAGCAACATCTAAATATATAGAAAGTTGATCCACGTTATTCCCTCTTGGAAATAACAAAACTCGCCTGCACACGGGCACCAGCAACTCCTGATTACTCACAAGCATTCAACTGACATTCAGCAATTCGTCGCATGTACTACTTAAATGAAGATTTGCTACCCTGCGCACATACCATTTGTAGCCTCCAACAACAAACGGGTCCGAATAGTGCTTCCTCACGGATAGTTTCCCAAAATTTGTTAAAGTCCATGTAAATTTTCCTATGTGATCGTCAACGGGCTGGTTCTCCACTGTCGCAACGCTCTCACCGTGACCTACACAGATTGGGTCGTCATAAACAGTGTTACATGTAGCAGAGCGTGTTGCCCCAGTAAATCGACCATCAATGAACCAATGTTTTCCCATAGCTGATTCAGGAAAAAAAAAAAAAAAAAAAAAAAAAAAAAAAAATGGAAATCAAACTTAACGTGATATACGATTTCTGTACAATAAAAATTGCAAATGCTTCGCTGCAGGGCGCATCCACTATCGTGAAACACTAATCATCTAGCATTTTGAAACAAACCTTCCATTGGTTCTATGCCGTCATTTAGATCTTGAGGAGGGACGACCATATTTTCATCTTCCTGCCGCCACAGCCATTAAAAACGCAATTAAACGGCGTATGAAAGGATGTGCGCACTTGCTTTGCTAATAATCATGAACCAACACGCTCTCAATCTCGCCACATGTTAGAAGCATCATCGACAGCAACGCATAACCAAATCTGGAGAGGGCCTGCTTCCACCGAATTGAGCAATACCGTCATAATTATTTGATAATCAACATCAGATTATATGTAAAATTAGTACCAAAAAAAAAAAAAAAAAAAAAAAAAAAAAAATTGCAATAGGTATATAGAATTCTCAAATAATCTGACACGAATTCGACAGAACAAGACAATAACAAGACCATAACGAACAGATGTAGAGAAGACAAACGCACATCGAGAGGCGGCGCCATTATCGCCCTCCTAACTCCGCCAATTTCCTGTATCTCGTCCTTACAATCCTCCCTCCAACCTCAAGATTTCCCAATCCGCTACAATCCAACCAACACGATCACAATCCTCAACAAATCCCAATCCTCCCCTAATCCTCCCTCCTCCTACCCCACGAACAATCCGTTCCAATCGGCTCCACCACAACACGAATCCGGCGTAACCCTAGGTCAATCGTCCTCTCTGTGACAATCTACCTGGTGCGTTCAAAAGCCTCTAAGCATGTCAACCCTAAGTTGCCTGGTCATCTTTCTGTAATTCGCAGGGTTCGAGGCGATAATGCGAACAGGTTTCCACTGACTTATCCGCGAGAATGTGATTGAAAGGCATGAAACGCTGCTCTACTGTATAGAAATAAGGATTGGCACGGCAGATGGAATTGTGGATGGGGGCGTGCATCGGGCGATGCGAGACAAGACGAGACAAGACAAGACCAGACCAGACGAGTTGAGACGACGGGACCGTAGGGGAAGTGCACTCACTATACCACCACTCCCTCAGAGCGGAAGAGGGGATGCCTGCCTGCCCTGCCCTGCCTGCAGCTGCAGTGGCGCTGGTGAGCGACGTCCAGCTGGTGAGCACCCCCCTGTGCCCGTGTCTTGTGACCCTGCATCATAATTGCTTCCTTGTCCCTATACCCGTGTATGTGACCGGATTGCTCCGGATATTAACCTCCGGACTTCAACCCTAGCCCGTGCCTTTAAAGAAGCTCTCCATATGATGATTTCCTTATTTTTGTTATTATGATGAGATATAAAAAATTAAAGTAACACAAGTGGGAGACAAAAATTGAATAAAATATTCTACACCATCATTGACCCACCACCCTCTTTCTCTTCCCCTCTTCCTCCTCCCCCTCGTCCACACCCAATCACTTTCTGCACAAGCAACTTCATTCCTTGTTTGTCTCACATATTACTCAAAAATAGATGAAACAAAATTTTCTAAAAAAAAAAAAAAAAAAAAAAAAAAAAGTTTTTTTTATGAATTTTAAACATGAGGTTTTTTGAATAAAATAGATAAATTAAGCAATGATTCTTTCTGTCACGTGTTATTTAGTTGTTTATCTATGTAGATTGGCTTAAGTCACAATTGGTCAATGATGTGTATGTGTATAGCTCATAATCAATTCAGCATCCACTAAATTATTTTAGTCTATGTATAATCAAGCATACAGAAAGTCTTTAGGTGACATGTCTTCGAGGTGTGTCTAAAACAACTACTCCAACTTCAAGAATTATGAAAACACCCATAAAATATTCTATTACTAAAGTGATTTGTCAGATGTCAATTTAATTCTCCTGCAAAGCACAACAGTGTCTTTTTGAATATTGTAACAGTCAAAACATGAAGCAATTTTTTGTATATTGTAACAGTCAATAGTGTTTATTTTCGAATTAAAACTACAAAAAATGGAAAATTTTACATTGATTGCATAATTTCGTTTTTCTAACATTCAATAGATTCAATACCATAAACAATGAAGACTATAATCACATTGTATTAAATTGATAGTCTTATTTCAAGTAAATCACTGGAATCTGTCAATTTTGAAATATTATTGAAAAAAATTATGTAGGTAATCCAATGTGTACAAAACAATTGACATTGTACTCAAGAAAATATCAATCTATTTAATGCAGATGTATTTACTTAAAACTTAAATTATTGATTCTATGTCACAATTGATATTGCATGTTTAATTTTGAGCAATAAAATTTAAAAGACTATTGTCCTCCAAAATTGTACATGAAAAAATCTCAATTGTCAAAGTCATTAAAGTTGTTTCATTATTAATTTTCCAAATTACAGATAGAAAAGGATAAATAAATAAATAAGCTTGAAATTTTGTGAAGAAAATTATTCTGAAATATTAGATGTGTATGACTTGAATATTTATGAGTACTTCAGATGTAAACCAGAAGTGCGGAATGTGTTCTTAGGAGTTTATTGATTTAGGCTTATTTTAAATAGACAAATTTTTAATTTTATGCTAGTGTGTGTCTTTAAGATCCAATTAATTAGATCAAGAAGAAAATCACATAGAAGAAGTAAAATTAATATTAACATATTATAAATTATGAAAATGCGTATTACAACATACACACATAACTTCAGACCTAGATAGTTTTATCTTACCATGCCATATGTTAAATTACCAATCTTGTGTATGTAAAACTGAAGTTTAGGTAAGCATGGCATTAACAATTACAGTTTCAATCTATTAGTTGTTTCAAAAGATGATAAATAAAGTACATATAAGTTAAAATACATTAAAATTATACATAAATTTGAACCTTGATAAAGTACATGACAAGAATATATATATATATATATATATATATATATATATAGGTAATTTTTTTCTATAAAATATGATGTTTAAAGTAAGTATAATTCATTCATATTCTTAGGTATAAATCCAATATTATATAGATACTAGTTGAACTTGTATTGTTGTTACAAAAAATATGCAAAAAATTAGTTAATTTTGTTTAAGGAACTACTTCTAAAGTTTAATCATAAGAAAACAAAAATTATATTAAGTTATTCAATTATGTGTTTTACATAGAGATGATTATTGCCCAAAAATCAATGCTTGCTTAAAAATCAACAAAGTGCAAGTCACAAAGCCACAAATAGCTCAAACTACAAGTACAAATAAGACTACAGTTGCAACAAGGAAGACACCACAATTAGTATTATAAACATGTTATAAATATGTTATAAATATATTATAATTAATAAGAGAAATAATAGAAAAAAACTTTAACATTACATACTTTACTAAAGGACCTCTTTCTCTAGCAATGACTATTTTGGTACATTCTACATAGGATTTATTTAGGACAAGTTTATTAGGATAATCTTGTTTTAACAATATTGTTTTAAGAGTGAAATTTTTAATAAAATAGAATATTTAGATCTCTATTTTCTTGATAAAAATCAAATTTGATTAAGTTGTTTAGCTAGATCCTTATTTACTTAGGTTCATAGAGAATATAATATATTTTTCTGCTATGGAATGCATTTTTTCATATCTTATACTTCTTAAGTTTATTCTCAAATGTTTTTGTTGGAAATAGTTTACTATTTAATGTTTTTAATTGTAAGGAATTATTATCAAATACTTTCCAAATATAATAAGATCTTAACTAAAGGATATCAAATTTGCTAAGAAAATGTATTCTCTTAGTATTTTATAATAATATTAGCATCTCCAATTGTAAGACTCTCTTCTTGTGTTTTTTTATCAAAAGCAATTTTTTTTTCTTTAGTAGAATTACTTCTATATATTGGGCCTAAGTCCTTTAAATTTTATTAAGGCCCTCTAATTATTCTAATCTATTTTTCAAGGATTCTTGAATACTTAAGCTATCATCTATTATTATTCTTAGCTAATTAATTTAAAATCTATGGATAATATAGCTTCTATTTCATATACTAAAGAAAATCAAATGGCCTTGGTTGTGACTTTATCTGTTGTATAATAAATCCACAAGGCTATTAGTAATTTTGTGTCTCAATCACTCATAGATTCTTATACTATTTTTCTTAGGATATTAACTAAGATTTGATTCACTCTTTCCATATGGCTGTTAGTTTGTGGATGATAAAAAAGTAATTATATAATGGTTTATATTAAATCTATTAGTCATTTCTTCTACCACACTATTCAAGAAGTATCAACTTTGATCACTCATCAAAATTTTAGAATAATTAAATTGAATATGATTTATTCATATATAAAATTAGCCGCATGGATAGCATCATTGGTTTTGACAACTTTTGCTTTAGTCCATTTTGTTAAATATTCCATAGCTACTACAATATATTTCATTCTTCTTGAAGAATTTGAATGAATTTTTTTTATGTAATTAATTCTCTATTTTTCATAGAGAACTAAAAGCAAGAATACATGGAGAGGAAGTCCCATATGCAAATCATTTTTACATAATATTAGCAAGTATTACATCTTTTAGCACAATCATACACATCTAAAAACATAGTAGGTCGATAATACCCAACTTTCATTGCCTTTTGAGTCATCAATTTATTTGAATAGTGTCTTCTACATGCACTATCATGGCATGCCATTAATATGGCTAATACTTCATCAACCACCATACATTGTATAAGTAGACTATCTACTCTTCAATAATATAATTATTTTTCTATTATAGCAAAATAAATGATATCAATTTTAATCTTATATTGTTCATGTTTGGACAATTTTATGAAAAATTGATTAAAATTTAATTTTTTTGTAATATAATTATATCAAGTAGGATAAATAGAAATATTAAAAAGAGATTTATCTACCAAGTTGTCATTGATAGGAATAGGGCTTAATTCTCCTTCTAATCTTGAAAGGTGATTGACTTGGTTATATAACTTTTTAGGTTTGTATTCCACCTTATAATCAATTTTTTTTAGTAATAATATCCATTGAACTATATAACTACTTAAATTTACTTTATTGACTAAGTATTTGATGGACACATGATCAATAAAAAAATACCAAAAAATTTAATAAAATGTAATGTCAAAATTTCTAAGTAGAAAAGACCGTGGCCAAGCATTTTTTTTTGTAGTACTATAATTTTGTTCTACTACATTTAACTTCTTCCTAGAAATTGCAATAAGATAATATTTATGCCCATCTTTTATTGGTTGGCATAATATACTACCTATTGCTATGGATGAAATATCAAAATAGATATAGAAGGGAAGTTCTCAAATAAGAAAATTTAAAGCTAGATAGGAGCTTAATGTTGTTTTTATCCAATCAAAGGTGGCTTGACACTCTTTTTTTCACTCAAACTTAATCAACTTTCTTTTGATGTTGGTAATGAATAACATTTTTGTAGCATAATCAAGAATTAATTCTTGATACCATCTAAGATATCTTAAGATTTTTTTTACCACTTTAAAATTTTTAAGAGGTTGTATTTTAATTATAATTACTATTTTTTAGGTTCCTTCTTTAGAAACCACATAATTCAATAAGATCTCTTTTTTTTATTGTCAAGTTTAATTTGTCCTAATTTAAAGGAATTCTTGTTTCTCTACACCTTTTTAAGTTTCTTTTTATTTAATCTAGATGGTTCTTGATATTTAATTGGGTACTAAAATCACCTATGAACATTTTTGTTGTATTATAATATGACTATATGGTAAAAATATAATAAAAAATAAATTTCTAATTAATATCTAATTATCTTGGTTCAATAATAATTGAAGATATTTAAACATGGCTTTTATAAAAACCTCTTAGTTTATTTTTTTGTCTTAATAGTTAGTAGGTTAAAGATTGGTTAGTAATTTTACCTTCTAGGCTTTAGAAACTCTTTTACTACCTTAAAAAGACTATAAATGAGTAAAATTAAGTTAAAAGAGATAAATAATTAGTATGATTGATGTTAGAATTAAGTTGAAGGTAGGATTGGGCTAAAAAACTCCTAGAATAGATTAGATTGGTATCTGGAGGTTGACCATTTGTGAGACAGGA